TTCTTACTCACAGCTCCAGAAAAAAAATCATTATCTTTGTCCTTGGGGAGAAAGTTTAAAGTTCAGCACTTTCTGCAGATTATAAGAATGTTCCTCTTTTATAATTAAAATTTAATATTCTATAGGAAAAGGATAAGCCACGAAGAAGGAGCCGTCCATAGGGACAAGCGTACTAAGTAACACCGACTAGGAAACAAAGTTAAGGCAGCTTTTTCATGGGAGCGGACAGCTATGTCTTTATAAATCATTACCTTCTCATGGAGTTTCAATGGTCAGCATCTCTGCCCTGTTGACAAGGCAATAAAAGGAAGCTGCCTCCAAAAGTGTTTCGGCGAATGGCTCCTACCCTACCTAGTTCAAGGTCTCTCTCTAGCTTGTCTGTGCTCCAGGTCCACTCCTGCCTCCCATAACCCTTCCTTCACATCAGCGAGAGGGGTGTTTCTAAATAGGTCAGCTCATGCTGCTTCCCTGATCACATCCTTCTATGATTTTACATTGCTCTTAAAAAAAAAAAAAGAAAAAATAGATGGTTTTTTTTATTGATTTCTAGAGAGTGAGGAAGGGAGAGGGAGAGAGAGGGAAACATCTTTGTGAGAGAGAAATATAGATTGGTTGCCTCCTGTCAACCCACAACCTGGGCATATGCCCTGACGGGGAATCAAACAGGCAACCTTCCGGTGCATGGCTCAACCAAGTGAGCCACACTGGCCAGGGCTGCATTGCTCTTTTTTTTTTTTTTAATATATTTTCTTGATTTTTTACAGAGAGGAAGGGAGAGGAATAGAGAGTTAGAAACATCCATGAGAGAGAAACATCGATCAGCTGCCTCCTGCACACCTCTACTGGGGATGTGCCCGCAACCAAGGTACATGCCCTTGACCGGAATCGAACCTGGGACTCTTCAGTCCACAGACCGACGCTCTAGCCACTGAGCCAAACTGGTCAGGGCTGCATTGCTCTTAAAATACAATCCCCCCTCCTCTCTGAGGACCTTAAAATCCCCTGTGTGCTCCAGCCCCCACCTATGTCCCCAGTCTCACAGCTCCTGCATGTGCTCCCTTCTGTTCTTCAAGCACCCCAGAATTTCCCCACCTCAGCACTTTTGCACTTGCCTGTTTCCTAAAATCTGGAACACCCAATGCCTAGCACAGTGCCGGGCACTTAGTAATCCCACAATAAATAGTTCTTGAATGAATGGATCCATGTTTCATTAGAGTGGGTTGGTGGGATGATAAAGACTTGACTCTATAGTCCATTATCTTTCAAATAAATGTGTGTGCATATATTCATGTGTGTATAGACAGACAGATATATACAATGTGTATGTCTGTATCAGATACAAGTATATGTGTATTCTAAACAGTATGTTACTGACGAATTTGTTTCAGTTTGATGCTGCCTTCATCAAACGCATTTGAGGTTGGCGTATGAAGTCTGTCTCCCTCTCTACACTCAATGGTCTCTGCAAACATGACTTGTATCTTTCATATTTCATTGTTGCCAGGGTCCATAGTACATTTGGGTTTGCTAAATGCACACAACCCTCCAAAACTCAGTAATGAACTGGGCTGTATTTTAGGGTGTCTGAATCCATTCAGGAGTCGCAAGCCCTTGGTTGCCGTCTCCAGCTAGGACAGAACCTGCCCGACTTCAGTATTTGCCTTGGTGTCTTCCATGTCATTGAGCCGGCTAGACTCCAGGTCACCTTATGAATCAGCGGCGTCCACACGGTCCTGTCTTCAGCAGCCCTCCCTACTCAGCTCCTATAGACTCATACCTATGGCTCCTGTTATGGAATCAATCCATCTTCTGTTTGGTCTTCCTCCTTTCCTGCTGCCTTCTGTTGTTCCCAGCATTATTGTCTTTTTCCAAAGAACCCTGCCTTCTCATTATGTGACCGGAGTAGGACAGCTTCGGTTTGGCCATTTTTGCCTCCAGCAATGTTTCAGGCTCTAGGACCCACTTGTTTCTCTCCCTGGCTGTCCCGAGTCCCTAGGGCTCTCCTCCAACACCATCTTTCAAATGAATCCATTTCTTTCCTATCAGCCTTTCCTTTCCTTATGTGTCTTTCCTTTCCTTAAAAAGGTCAGCATTGAATGGCAAGGGCCGTCCGTGTTTCCCAAAGGGGAGAGGAATCAGCACAGTGTCCTCTATTATCCTGTAGGGTAACAAATACCCGACAGGAGTTGGCTCTGCTTTCCCAGGATCTTGTGGGACTCACTAACAGTCTCCACGTTGACCATGTGCAGGAAGGGTAAGTAATCTTAGCAGTGGCCCCTGCACTTGAGCAGCTCTGGCCAAAAAACCTGGGCTTACATCAGGACGTGACATTAATACAGACATCCAGCTTCAACTGGACAGACACAGAACTGTTATTTTTTCACCAAGGCACGTTTATTTACTCCCATGGGAGAGAAACAAACATGGCCACCGGGGAGAGCCTGGGACAAAATGTACTTGACCTACAATAGATAAACCAAAAGCCAAGTCTCAGAACGAGCTGTTTTCTGCTCCTCTCAGCTCAAGTCAGCAGACGTGAATTTTCAGAGGAACAAAAGCAAATGTAAAGGATGCTGAAGGAAGATGGAAAACGCAGCCAGTTTTGTCAGCTGAACAAGGCAGAGTAGGGCAGACAGGCAATCTCAAAATCTGAATTCAGTACTACAATCACTAAATTATTTGGGAAAACGTCATTTGCTTTCTCAGTGCCTTCCTTTCTGTGCCTGTGATACTGAGAGTAATCAGCACACTGAATATACTGGCATTTAATACTGAATGCTACACAAAATCTAAACCCTATACATGAATCAAAAATAATTATTTTAATAATTAAGCAAAACAAAATTCAGAATATTACCTGTCATTCAGGAGTCAGCTCATATGATCACCTCTTCAAAAAGAGGTCTCCTAAACTCCTAATCAAAACCAACCACATTCTCCCCATTTCTGGCTTATTTTTTCCCTCCCAGCAGTTACTACTACCTGAAATTGTCTTATTTATTCATGTGTTTGTCTACTCTCTCTCTCTCTCTCAGCCACAGGAATAGCAATCTTTGCCCATCTTACTGCTTTATCCTGCCTGGTTGAATAACTACCTATTGAATGAATTAATACTGACATTAAAAATACTTTGAAAAAGGAGAATGAAGTTGGAAGACTAACAGTATCTGATTTCAAGACATGTTATAAAGCGACAATATTCAGGCCCAACAGGCGTGGCTAAATGGTTGAGCATCCACTTGTAAGCCAGGAGGTCACAGTTCAATTCCAGGGTCAGGGCACATGCCTGGGTTGCAGGCTCAATCCCCAGTGTAGGGCATGCAGGAGGCAGCCCATCACTGATTCTCTTTCATCATTGATGTTCCTGTCTCTCCCTCTCCCTTCCTCTCTGAAATCAACAAAAATATAAAATAAATAAATAAATAGACAATAATCAAGATCATGTGGTATTAGCATAAGGAGAGACAAACAGACCAATGTAACAGAACAGAGTCCAGAAATAGACCCACATATACTAGTAAGTGGACAACTGATTTTCAACAAAGGTACAAGTTCAATAAAGACAGTCTTTTCAACAAATAGTGCTGGAATAACTATCCATATGCCAAAAAAGAGAACATGTATCCACACGTCATACCATATACAAAAATTAACTCAAAGGGGATCAGAACCCTAAAACTGTAACACTTGTAGAAAACATTTGAGATCTTGGGTTAAGCAAAGATTTCTTAGAAATAACACCAAAAGCATTATCCATTAAAAAAAAAAAAATACACGAAACTTCACCCAAATTAAAAACCTCTACTCTTCAAAAGACATTGTTTTTAAAAAGTGAAAAGACAGGACACAGACTAAGAGAAAAATATTTGCAATTCTGATAAAAGACTTGTTTCCAGAATAAAGAACTCTCAAATCTCAATACTAAGAAAACAAACAATTAAATAAAAAAGAGGGAAAATATTTGACCAACTAAACACGTCACCAAAGACAATATACAGACAGTAAATAAGCACATGAAAAGATGATCGGCGTGATCACCGAGGAAAAAAGAAATTAAACCTACAAACAAAGAGAGCCCAGCTGGTGAGGCTCAGTGGTTGACTGTGGACTCATGAACCAAGGGGTTATCAGTTCCATTCCCGGTCAGGGCACATGCCTGGGTTGCAGGCTCCATCCCCAACAGGGAGTGTGCTGGAGGCAGCCAATCAATGTTTCTCTCTATTCCTCTGTCTCTCAAAATCAATAAAAAATAAATTTAAAAAAAACTATAATGAGATACCATGACACACCCACCAAAATGGCTCAAATTTAAAAAGTGATCATCCCAAGTGCTGACGAGTATGTGGAAGAACTGAACTCCTACATACAGCTGGTGGGGATGTAAATAGCATAACCACTTTAAAAGACAATTAGGCAATTTCTGGAAAAGTTAAATAGACACCTACTATATGATCCAGCCATACCCCTGATTGGTGTGTACCAGAGAGAAATGAAAACATATGTCCATACAAACTCTTGTACGTGACCGATCAGAGCAGCTTTGTTTGTGACAGACAAACTTGGGGAAATAACTCAAATGTCCATCAACAGGTGGATGCATAAACAATTGGTGGTACATCCATACAATGGAAGATTACTACGCAACAAAATTACATAATGAACTATTTGACACATACTACAACATAGACAAATCTCAACATAATTATCCAAGCATAAAAAGCCAGATATAAAATTCCATTAATATAAAATTCTAGGAAATGCAAACTAATGTATAGGGGCACAAAGCAGAACCGCGGTCGCCTGACGAGGAAGAGATTATAAAGGACATGAGGAACCATCTCAAACAGTGTTCGATGTGTCCATTATCTTGGTTGTGGTGGTGGTTTCACAAGTGCATACATATGTCAAAACTTATCAAACTGTACACTTAAATATATGCATTTTATTGCATGTCACTTATACCTCAATAAAGCTGGTTAAAAATAATAAAACAGACCTACAATCTGAAAAATAATAATTCCCAATTATGTGTGTTGTTCAGAACCTGCCTTTTTAGGTGGCAGACATATATATATATATATATATATATATATATATATATATATATATATATATTTTACTGATTTCAGAGAGGAAGGGAGAGGGAAAGAGAGATAAAAGCATCAATGATGAGAGAGAATCACTGATCAGCTGCCTCCTGCATGCCCCCTACTAGGGATCGAACCTGAGATCCTGGCATGTGCCCTTGACCGAAATAGAACCTGGGACCCTTCAGTCTCAGGCTGACGCTCTATCCACTGAGCCAAACCAGCTAGGGTGACATTTCTATTTTATAATAGGGAGAGCTGGAAGAGAGGAGCAATTACTCCATTTCAAACTGTCATCTTTGTCACTTGCTATACCCACACTTCCCTGCTTCTAGACTAACAAGCTGGACAATGTAGGATCTATTACTACTCTGCCCCTTCCCCACCCCCTAAGCCCCAGTCTTTTGTCTCCTAAAGAAGCAGATCTTTACTTGTCTAGAAGAGCAGACACAAGGAACAAAAGGCTCAATGACTATTTGACAGATTAAAGAATAGACAACTGCTTTATTTAAAAGCTCCCTCAAGGATGACAACATTTGAGGCTGTACACTGTTCTGTTGAAATGCAGTTATATATTACCCCGATCTGTAAGCACTTGCCAACAAACCTGTCCAAGTCACTTCCTAAGTTTCCAGTTTTCGTTCCAGATCCACCAATAAATAATGTGCAGGTGTGTTTTGAGAAGACATTCCTAATATTTTGAAAAGACTCTCATTCAAATAACCCCAACTGCTTAAAACAGTTTTTCAAATGTCTATGACATTGGCCATACGGGACAATTAAGACTGAACAATGAGTCTTATATGTGAAATGTCTATAAAGAGAGGCGATACAAAATAGCAGGATCGCCATCCGAAAACAAGAGGTCACACACTCCTGTTTAACAACAAAATAAGGGCTTAAAAAATAATTAGCAACATTATAAAATAGTAAGAGCAACATGGTGATTAAACAGTGGGGATTCTGGCTCCACCACTTATCGGCTGGGTGACCTTTGGCAAGTTGCCTAACTCCTGAAACTCAGTTTACTCATCCTTAAAAAGGGGACAGGTAATAGCTTGGCTGGCACAGCTCTGTGGTTGAGCTTCCATCCCTGAACCAGGAGGTCACAGGTTCAATTCCACTCAGGGCACATGCCTGGGTTGCGGGCTCTATCCCCGGTAGGGGGTGTGCAGGAGGCAGCCGATCAATGATTCTCTCTCATCATTGATGTTTCTCTCTCTCTCTCCCTCTCCATTGCTCTCTGAAATCAATAAAAATACATTTTTTAAAAAGGGGGGGAGGGATAATAGTACCTAGCTCGTCGGGTTATAGTGAAGATTAGATGTGTGTGGCTTACAGTAACAGCTTAACAAACGTTAGCTCTCAGTATTACCCTGAACTTTCACAGGATCTCGTTAATTCGCTAATCCTCCTTGCGACTCTAAGGTTCCGGCCCTGTCATTTATCAGCAGGTTGCGTCGGAGCCTCAGTTTCCACATCCGCCAAACGGGTGATGAATGCTTCCTGAATTCTAAGGTTGTGATGAAGGATTCAACAACGAGAGACACAGCTCCCTTCCCTCCCACCTCTCAAAGGCGAAGGTCGCTGAGAAAGGAAATACTTCTAATAGCTGCTGATACAGTCAGTGTTTCCATTCCTGGCACGTGAGGGGAGGGAGGGGGTGATGCAAACCCGCATCTAAAGGGGTCGGGGTCCTGAGCGAAGCCCCCAAACGCGAGCGGGAGGCGGGGGCCGCCAGCAGCTCCGCCGTCGGGGGCCCGGCCCCGCGCAGCGCCCTCCGCTTCCCTCCGGCCCCCGGGCCCCGGAGCCTCCCGGGCGAGCGGGGTTATTTCGGAATCACCATGAGGCAATTCTCATGAGGCAATGGGTCAGGAATGCGGCGCCGGGCCGGGCCGCTGGCGTCCGCGGGTCCCGCGGCGGCTCTACCTGCCCCCGTCCAGACCGGCATCCCCGAGGCTGCGGGAGCCGGAACTCGGGGAGGCAGGAAATGAATGGGGACCGAGGGGTGGGGGCGCGGTGGGGCCCGGCCCGGGAGGGCGAGGAGGTTGGAAGAAAGCATCTCCCCCGAGCTCCCCCCCCCGACTCCGGACGAGCGACCGAAGCCCCGCCGGGGCGCCCCCTCCGGGAGGGGCTGACGGACCGCGGCGGGGGACGCGCCGAGGCCGCGCCGGGCCCCCGGGGCTCCTCACCTCCGCGATGTCATGTTCCTCCCGCCCTCCGGCTCCGCGACCGGCGCGCTCCTGGCTCAGGCGCCGCTGGGCCCGGTCACCATCGGGATGGCCCGAGGGAGGCCCGCTCGGGACCGGACGCGGGGGGGGCAGAGCCAGCGGGCCGCGCGCAGACCCCCCTCCAGGCCTGGGGATCCCGGAGACTGTGCCGCCGCCCCCCAGCCCGGCTGGCTCCTCCTCCTCCCCCGCCCGTCGCCGCGGGCGCCCTCGTGACGTCACCGCGCCGCCGCCGCCACTTCCTGCTTCCCGGCGGCCGCGCCGGCTGCGCGGTGGCTGGTGCAGCCGCGCTTCTCAGTCCCCCAAGCTCCCTCATGCTCTCCTTTATTATTTTTTTAAATATGTTTTTGTTGACTTCAGACAGAGGAAGGGAGAGAGAGATAGGACATCAATGATGAGAGAGAATCATCCGTCGCTGCCTCCTGCACGCCCCCCACTGGGGATGGAGCCCGCAACCCCGGGCAGGTGTCCTGCCCGGGAATCCAGCCGTGACCTCCCGGTTCCTCGGTGACGCTCCGCCGCTGAGCCAGCCGCTGGGCTCACGTCCTCCCGTGGCCTTTGGCTGCGGGGGCAGTGCCGGGCGCTCCCACGACCCGGCCGCTTCCGGTCCCACCGCTCCGTGTCCATCCCGGAGCTGACTGCCAAGTGGGACATTCATTCATTTCATTCCCCAAATCGCAGCTCCGCCCAAGGAGCTGGGTGACCTTGGGAGAGTTGCTGAACTTTCTCGGAGCCTCCGTTTTCTTCATGCCTTCGTGCCTGTACGATGAAGCTAGTGATGATTGTATTTTCTTCATAGGATTATTGTGAGGATTACATATGGAACATGCTTGGAACTAGGCCTAGCCCGTTTGGTCAGTGCTTTGCCGTTGTTAGCTTTAGTGAGATAATTAAACATCAGTTGAGTATTTTCTATCTGCCAGGCGCCCGTTCTAGGCTAGGGGGATACAACAGTGAAGTGAAAGGGCAAACATCCCTGGGTTCTCCTGGGAGGAGCTACAGTAATCAAGAAAAATACTCGCCCTAGCTGGTTTGGCTCAGTGGATAGAGCATCAGCCTGCGGACTGAAAGGGTCCCAGGTTCGATTCCCGTCAAGGGCACAGGCCTGGGTTGCCGGCTTGATCCCCAGTCGGGGGCATGCGGGAGGCAGCCAGTCAATGATTCTCTCTCATCGTTATTGCTTCTATCTCTCTTTCCCTCTCCCTTCCTCTCTGAAATCAATAAATATATATTTTTTAAAAATACTCAAGATGCCGCCCTAACTGGTTTGGCTCAGTGGATAGAGCATCGACCTGCGGACTGGGGGGGTCCCAGGTTCGATTCCGGCCGGGGGCCTGTGCCTTGGTTGCGGGCACATCCCCATTGGGGGGGTGTGCAGGGGGCAGCTGATCGATGTTTCTCTCTCATCGATATTTCTGACTCTCTGTCCCTCTCCTTTCCTCTCTGTGAAAAACCAATAAAATATATTTAAAAAAAAAAATACTCAAGATGCCGAAGCCGGTTTGGCTCAGTGGATGGAGTGTCGGCCTGCGGACTGAAGGGTCCCAGGTTCGATTCCGGTCAGGGGCATGTACCTGGGTTGCGGGCACATCCCCAGTGGGGGGTGTGCAGGAGGCAGCTAATCGATGTTTCTCTCTCATCAATGTTTCTATCTCTCTCCCTTCCTCTCTGTAAAAAAATCAATAAAATATATTTTTTTAAAAAAATACTCAAGATAATACTCTCAGCTTCCTTTCTGGTCTTTCCCGGAAAATGGCATTTAAATAAGCTCAGATGCAGAAGCAATCAGAGGGAATAAGTCAGGGAACTAGCATTTCAAGCACAGGGGAGAGGCAAGGGCAAAGGCTCCCAGGCCCTGATGCCTCTTGTATTTTAAGGACAATAAGGAAGTGTCTGGCTTGGGGGAGAGGATGGTGGTGAAGGATGAGTCGTAGCAGATGAGGTAAGAGAGATGGAGATGGAGATGGGAGAGGTCCCGTAGGCTATTATCAACAAGACAAGTAATAACAAGTGTTGGAGAGGTGGTGGAGCAAAAGGAACCCTCTTTCACTGCCGGTGGGAATACAAACTGATACAGCCGCTGTGGAAGAGAGAATGGAGGTTCCTAAAAAATTAAAAATCGAGTTACCACATGCCCCAGCAACCCTTCTTCTGGGTATCAACCCCCAGCATTTGCAAACATTTATTTGCAAGGATACCTGCGCAAATATGTTCCTATGTTCCTTGCAGCATTATTCACAGTGGCCAAGACGTGAAAAAAACCGAAGTGTCCTTTACCAGAAGAATGGATAAAGAAGATGTGGTACATATATACAATGGAATGCTACTCAGCCATAGGAAAAGGTGAAATACTGCCACTTGCAACAACATGAATGTCATGCTAAGCAAAATAAGTCAGACAGAAAAAGTTAAGAACCATGTGATTTCACTCATATGTGGGATATAAAGCTCAGAGCAACAAACAAACAAAAACTCATAGACACAGATAACAGTATAGTGGTGCCCAGAGTGAGGGGGGTAGCGAAGGGTAAAGGGGGTCAGATGTATAGTGACGGAAGGTGATTTGACTTTGGGTAGTGGGCACACAATGCAATATACAGATCATGTAGCATAGGAATGTGCACTTCAAACCTATGTAATCTTATTAATCAATGTCACCCCAAATAAATTTAATTTAAAAAAATAAACAGTGGCCCTTAGCCGGTTTAGCTCAGTGGATAGAGTGTCGGCCTGCAGACTGAAGGGTTCCGGGTTCAGTTCTGATCAAGAGCATGTGCCTGGATTGTGGGCTTGATCCCCAGTGGGGGGCATGCAGGAGGCAGCTGACCAATGATTCTCTCTCATCGATGTTTCTCCCTCTTGCTTCCTCTCTGAAATCAATAAAAATATATTTTAAAAAAACAAACAGTGGCCGAAACCGGTTTGGCTCAGAGGATAGAGCGTCGGCCTGCGGACTGAGGGGTCCCGGGTTCGATTCCGGTCAAGGGCATGTACCTGGGTTGTGGGCACATCCCCAGTGGGAGATGTGCAGGAGGCAGCTGATCGATGTTTCTCTCTCATCGAAGTTTCTAACTCTCTATCTCTCTCCCTTCCTCTCTGTAAAAAATCAATAAAATATATTAAAAAATAAAAAAAAATAAACAGTGAACTGAAGAGCCATGGAAAGATTTTAGCAGAAAAGGAACATAATCTCTATGTTTTTTAAGTATTGCTCTGGGTACTCTGTGAGGAATCAGATCAGGAGGGCAAGACCAGTAACAGAGAAGCCAGTTCAGAATAGTAGAATACTAGAGCATTCCTGGCTGGAGAGGAGGATGGTGCAGAGTAGAGGAAGAAGGTGGAGTTGTTATCTATACCTATGACATATTAAAAGCCGCAGAAGTAGTAAGTGAATTCAACCCACATTAGGTAGCGCCAAAATCCTTGCTTTTTTTCCTCCCAATGCGCCCCTTCTCACTCCTCGATAAAGAACTGGCACATGGTGTGCTTCATCAGCATTGAGGAAAAAGTAAGCCCCTTACCAAAATTGTCTTTCACCCTGGCAGGTGTGGCTCAGTTGGTTGGGCATCATCCTGGGCTCCAAAAGGTTGCCAGTTTGATTCCCAGTCAGAGCACATGCCCAGGTTGCAGGCTCAATCCCCAGTAGGGGACATAAAGGAGGCAACTGCTCTCACATCGATGTCTCTCTCTCTCTCTCTCTCTCTCTCTCTCTCTCTCTCTCTCTCTCTCATCCTCTCCCTTTCTCTTTCTCTAAAAACAAAAAACAATTTAAAGAAATCTTTAGAAAAATTGTCTTTGCCATAGTCGGTAGCTCAGTTGGTTAGAGGATTGTCCCCATACATCAAGGTTATGGGTTCGATCCCTGGTCAGGGCACATGCAAGAAGAAAAAACCAATGAATACATAAATCAGTAGAACAATAAATCAATGTTTCTCCATCTCTCCTTTCCACTGTCTCTCTCTCTCTCTCTCTAAAATCAAGTAGATACATTTTTAAAACTTGTCTTTTATATATGCAAATTTAACCTAGGTAATAGGGGTTCAACAAGAAGTTGCCCAACCTGTTTCTTTTTCACTCTCCCTAAATCCTGGCCACCTTGGTGACTCAAACATCCTAATTGATCTTAGGCCTGCAGGTTTGCCCTTTCCTATCCATTCTCCACATAATAACCAGAGTAATCTAAAACACAAATCTAGTCACTCCCTACCTGGAATGGATTGCTTTTAGGATGAAGTAAAAAAAAAAAATTATTTTATCAGCCATCTTGTCTGGTTCCTGCTCACTGCACCAGCCATGCCTCTCTCTACCACTCACCTCATTCTCTTTGACCCAGTCATGCTGAATAAGTCTCACTTCCCCTCCCAACTCTGGGCCTTTAAACAATCCATTCCCACTCCCGAGAGGGTTCATTCCTGACCCCTCCTTCCTATGAACTCCAGTTTATGCCTCAGGTCTCAGACTAGAAGTCAAGTCCCCTGGGATAGGAAGCCTTCCATGATTCTCTCAGTCCAGGTTCTATGGTCCCCAACACACCTTTCCCAGCTTAGAACCGAACACCCTCCAATATAAACTCTAAGATGTAGTATCGTATGGGGGCTAAGTCATTGATCTCCAAAGCTCAGCCTGGGAGACCATAGGTAAGTCACTTGACTCTGTGTCTCCGTTTCCTTCTCTGTAAAATGGATTCATCAAGATACTACCTACCCCATAGGTTAGGTTGCAAAGAATAAAAGAGCTAATGTTTATGAAGTACAGTAAGTTCTCACTTAATGTCCTATTTAGGTTCTTGGAAACTGTGACTTGAAGCGAAATGATATAAAACAAAACCAATTGAACCATAGACTAATTAATAGAGAAAAGAGTTAAGTTCCCACAGCACAACTGCCTGCTAGTTTTCTGTCTTTCTGTGGCACTAAGAGACATGAGTCAATGTAAGTGTATATGTGACTTTGAATAAGTCATTTATTGTAATTGAGCCTTAGTTCTTTCATCTTAAATTCCTACCTCACAGGGATGTTTCATTAGGACTTAAAATGATTTAATGTCTGCTTTATAATTAATAAAGTACTGCACAAATTTAAGAGAATTTTATATGTGGCACAACGAGGTGCTTAATGTTTACTTTATTATTTTTTAAATATATTTTATTGATTTTTCTACAGAGAGAAGGGGAGAGGGATAGAGA